TCCTCCAAATAGTATTCCTTAGATTGGTTAAATTTCGACCAGCAAGATAATAATAAATAAACTTAGGTTTCAGTTTCACTATTATGAACCCGTTTCCCTAAGATAACCGTGAAAACTGTGTCGAAATACTGCCGCTTAATACAAACAGTGAATAAATAGTGCCACTCAGCTAGCCTACAAATTTCCTTTGATAAAACTGGTCTAAGAAGTGTACCAGCTTATTATCTCTGTAGTTAAACACGTGCGTTGATGGCACAGCGGTAGAATGCTTGCCGACCACGCATGTAGTCCAGGGTTCGATTCCCGGCCAACGCACTCCCGAGCCCTGCTGAGCCAGTATTAAGACTAGTGAAGAGGGAAGATTGGGCATAAGGCTAGCAACTCCATCCTATAAAAATAAACACCACTGCTACTGAAACTTCAAGCCTCTAGCTTGAAGCCCTATGTTCCACTGGGAACGTGAAGGAATAAAAGAAAAATTTTTTTCAAAAATTAAACATAATATATATAAGACTTTGTTACACTTCATATGTTCATAGGTATAAGTGAATATTTAATGGAGCCCGAACCCTAGACTGAACTGTTTTAAATTAAATGCTGATGCTGGATACTTATATCTCCTCTGCATTGTTTATGAACCACAAAAAATGAAGGTTCTTTCTCAATGAATGAATGATATGACAGCCATATAAAAATATTGGTAGTAATTTATTCTGAACTTAAACCTCCTGGGTTCATGCAAACCAATTTATAACTAATCGGACAAGGATAAATCTTTCTTGCTGTTATTTTCACATTCCAGTCAACAGTATCCTATTTTACACTTACTCTTGTCAGATAGTGTTACTCCTGCTAGCTAGTATTATAAGGTGTAGCTGTATGATTATACATGGATATCTATAGGATATAGCATGTTTAATTTGAGTATGAGATACCTGAACACATCTTACAGATAACTCATGGTATATTGTTCGTTAAATGTTTGGTAGAACATTGAAAAATCTAAGCTAAAGTCAGCAGCATTTGCATAAATATTTTGTTGTTATTGAGAAAATGATTCATCGTAACACCAGCTGCTTTCAATAAATCCCGAAATACTTAAAATAAAACTTTTGGCAGGTTAATGGAAGGGGCATTCCCTGTTAAGATGACTGTGGTTACGGATGAAATACCATCAGCTATCGATCGAACGAAATGGATGTTCCACCTCTGAACAGGAAAATTGAGCTCTGACTAAATAAAAGTGTTAGGAAAAACAATAAACTTTAGTGTATCCGTTGACACAATAAAACCTGAGGACTTCATCTCCAGTATGCAAGTAACATTAAGCACGATAGATAAGACAACTACTGCGAAAGTGACACCAAATGACTCTAGAACATCCGAAGAAAGTGGTAAACAACTTATCACAAGAAGAAGAAATGCACAGAAGCATGATTTAAAAGTGGACATCCATTCTACAAATTAGATTAATTAAGAGTTAAAGTACACTGATGTGGACAACTCAGTCAATAATCACGAAGCATATCACACAGTAATAATACCGTATAACCAGACAAGTCATAGCTATTTGTCAGCCGGGATCATATCAAGTGATCTAAAAATGTCTTCCAATATCCAGTCATACAGCCTAACCATCAAGTACTTGAGACAGGAGGCACTTCTCAAGATAGCCATAAACGTTATAAGTCCAGATCTTCTGACTCTCAAAATACATTGAAGAAAAAGAAAATGATTCTTATCCTACTGACAGACATGAGTACTTTCCTGATGAAGAACTGATAATACACTCTACTAGGCAGTTCAAATGTGAATACTATGATTTTGTTATTGCATAGTATGTTCAGACCTAGTGAAATTCGCATGGTACTTCTATTTCCCAGATGTATCATACTGAGTATCACGGGAAAAAGTTGGAAATATCATTTGGGAATTTAAATTCAGCACACTTAAATCATTCAGCTTACAAACAAATTCTTCTTGACTTTCACGATTTCTTTTATTGGTAAAATGAAATCAAAAATATTGAATAAAGAATTCAGGTTTGAAGAACGTCAACTATGAATGAAGATATCCAACATTTTACCAATTTTTATTTTATTCCTCCACGTTCCCAATGAAATATAGGGCTTCAAGCTAATGGCTTGAAGTTTCTGTAGCAGTGTTTATTTTACAGGATGGGGTTGCTAGCCTCATGCTCAACCCTTCCTTTTTACCAGCTTTTATTTCTGGCTTAGCGAGGTCAAGGAGTGCGTCTGTGGCCGGGGATCGAACCCCGAACCATGTGCATGGTTGACGAGCGTCCTAACCGCTATGCCACCGACGCACAACCAAGCTTCTTGATATATTTTTTTCTATTTCAGTTAACATACGTTGTTATTTACTTTATTATTCTGGTCTCAGGCTACACCAGCTTTGTGAAGATACATAGGAGATGCGAAAGAAACTCAAAGAAATACAACATGAAGTCCAGAAGTACCACAACACTACGAAGTGTGCAGATGGTGCGTTGAAGATAAGGTATACCTAGTTTGCATATATAGAGATACCAAGTTCCTAAAAAAAATTCTTTACCTAGTATTTCCTCTTCAACCGTTTCAGTTGGTGTCGCTGTGGTCTCAGTTTCTTTCTGCTATGTGGAACTGAAGGTGAACTTGATCATCATTAAAAATTAAGGTGTGCTGAATAATTATTTCCCTTTAGTTTAGTGCGTCGGTGGCACAGCGGTTAGGTCGCTCGCCGACCATGCACATGGTGCTGGGTTCGATTCCCTGCCAACGCACACCATGTATCAGTTGGTCGGCCTGCAAAATTTGGGCCACCGATATCACATGCTGAAAATTTCGAACTTGTACCAAAAATGCAGTGTAGAATCAAGGTATAATCAAAATATAATAAAAAAATAAAATATATAACCATCACCATGAGACTGTCAAATCGTAAGCTAAAATATTATGCCACTCGTGAAGGTTTGAATAACTAAATTCTTTATTTTAAAAATGAAATTCACGACATTTTATTCGCCTTCAATCAAATCCGCCTGGAACAACCTGGATTCAGGAAAGGCAAATCATGTGCTCATCAAATTGCAACTCTACGCATCGTCATTGAATAAAGCATAGAATGTCAGTATAACCACTACCTCAACTTCATCGACTTCGAAAAGGCCTTTGACAGACAGTGTTGACCGAGAAGTAGTTTGGAAACTACTTCTACACTACGTCATACCTCAAGTCTTTGTCAACCTCATTCAACAGCTATCCATATGACAATGTCACGTGTTGGGTGATCCACAACGGAAAACTCAACGAGGCGTTCGAAATGCATGCAGGAGTAAGACTAGGCTGCCTATTATCACCAGTGATATTCTTAGCTGTGGTGGACTGGATTATGTGTCAGACGGTGCACAAGGAGCGAGGAGTCAGGAACATGCTGGACTACCAATAAGACTCTAGAAGACTCTAATAGACCTAGATTTGTCGCCTGGATAATAGATGTCTTATGTTACACAAACTCGAAAACTTTCAAGTGAAAACCAACAAACTGGCTGAAGAGGCAGGCGGCGAAAATAGGGCTTCAGGTGAACACAGAGAAGACGGAAGTGAGGAAGATAACTAATCAACAGCAACAACCAGTACCAATCACCATCAACGGGAGAGATTTAACAGAGGTTACTCCCTTCAGTTATCTGACTAGGAAGCATCGTTTCAACTACAGACAGCCAGGACGGATGATGTTAACGCTAGCCAGTCAGAATCGGAAAGTCAAGATACGCGTTCATTAACTTGAAGCCAGTTTGGAAATCTTCCCCACCCCGCAGAAAGAACAAGATTCGCATTTTCAACACCAATGTGAAGTCGTTTCTTCTATACGGGTCAGAAACTTGGCCAGTGTGTCACGAAAAGAATTTCCAACAGGTTGCAGACTTCCACCAACAGCTGCCCGCTTCGCCGGCTCCATACCGAAGATCAAATGGCCAGCAAAAGAATAAGCGACAAGAAACTATGGAAACAAAGCAACCAAGAGAATGAGATGGAGATGGATCGGGCACACATTGAAGAGGCCGCCGAACGACATCACACCCCAGGCCGTTGCTCGAGTGGAATCCAAATGGGAAGCAACTAGTGGGTCGTCGGCGCGGGGGCAACTTGGAGCAGATGGTTTGAGGAAGAGATTGAAAGAGTTTGGTCAATCGTGGACCTAGCTGAAGAGAACGGCAGAAAACAGAATAAAGTATGTGCAGATATGTTGTTGAAGCCCTATGTACCACTCGGAATGCAAGGGAATAATAAAAATAATAATCACTCAGTATCATACAACTTAAGTGCCGGCAAAATTGATACCAAAAAACTCACTAACTATTGCTTTCTTCTTTTCAACTGACTTCCTAATGCATATTGTTTATTGCATAAATCTACTTTCTATCTGGCTGGCTGGATTCAACATAGAACTTGGCACCGAAGTCCACCAGTTCGAGTTGCCACTTTCCAAATAGCGCACAAAGCTAGACAGGAGAATGAATGAAGAGAATCAATAGAGTTTTGACAAGTATAAGAGTAAAACAGAATGAGTAATGGTAGAAAGGAATATGAAAGATTACAGAGACTGAATACATCTGCGCCACTGACAACAATTTTGAGCCATGTCACCTATTGTCTCCAGCCATTGATTCTTAGAGTCCCGAGGGCGGGCCCCAACCCGGAAGTCTGCATCTCCCTACCTGACTCAGTTTAACTGTCAAGGATTTCATGGATTGATGCCATGTTTTTGTTTGGCCACCAATTACTCTTTTCCAACCTGCACCTATATCAGCTAGTAATGCCCGTCTAACGTTTAATGATACATATTTCATAATAGCTCATTAGTAGTACATATATACACTTTCAGTCGTCAAAGTAAAAGACAATATTATGAACACTGCTCTAATAATTTTAATCAGCCATTAAAATTCGTCTTGTGCGAGAGAGAGAAGAAAAGAAGAAGAATTACCGCTTACTTACCCCAAGTGAATGATAGTATTGATATGTTGCTATATTATCAAATAAACTTGCTGTAAAATTCTCATTCAATCGAGAATATGTAACTAATACACGTATACACTGAAATGTGGATCTATCCTTTGAACATTTATTCTCACATTTAACTGACGATGCTACTAATTCTGTTTTTACATATGCACATTCAGTCGGTAGAAATCCAGATTCATGTTGACACGGTAAGATAACTAAGTGGATTAGTATACATTCAATAATAAAACATGTAGTAATAATTGTTGCACAAGTTAAATAAATAGTTTTTATGAATGTTTCACGATATGTATTCTGTCTTCCTTTCCATACTGTATGATGATGAGGATGATGAGAATGATGGTGGTGGGAATGAAAACTGTGCTGTTGACGCAGTGGAGGACGAGAGGTATTTACACTGTCATTATGATTTTGATAGTCATGTGGAAAGTGCTGTTGTTGTTGTTCTTGTTGTTCTTGTAGTGATAGTGAATTTCTATCGTTCTGGTAGCCATCATAACCTGTTGGATCAGTCCTATGATATTCCCTTTTGTCTACTTCATAATCACTTTTATCGAAAGTGTCTTCATGGAAATGAAATTTATAATTCTCCATTTTTTTTATTCTTTGTCATTTTAAAGCATAATTGAAATAATTTCTCTTAAACAATAAGTAAATCCATTTTTTCTATTGTTACGTATATTGTATTTTCTCTATGATGAACATAATGTGATAGATACTTAGCAAAAGTCTATTCTATTAGCTTTGGATTCATATATATGTATTTGACCCTGAACAAAAGAACCAATTAAATTAAGAGAATTTTTATGTACTCAATTCTGATTGGTGAATTTATTATATGAATCAAGTATGACATTTAATGTAGGCTTATTAAAACAAAATTCTTTTTTAATTATTTTGTTTTTTTGTTTTCAGTTGCATTCGAATCGCATTAATTATTATTATTATTAAGCTTAACATAATTCTGTGCACAGAAAATTTCCTTCAGGTACGTTATACGTCTTTCTTGTCCTTCCTAGATTTTGACAAATATTTTTGTTTTGATGATGAAATGGACATTTTGTTCATCTGTCTTAACTGTCACTGACTATGGAATTTGCCAGTATTTCTGTAGGAAATGTTTTTTCTTGATTTCAAAGTCATCATCATGATAATTTCACTGATTAGTGTTAATCTAGATAGCTGGGAATTATTAACGAGTGTCAAAAGAAAACATTTTTTCTTTCATTTTCGATTGTTAGTTTATATAGGGGTTTGATTTGCTTCAAGTTGGATCAAGTTGGATTGACTTGAGTTAGAGAATCACTGAAAACCGACAAGGATTACTGGACAACTGTTTCGTCTAATTTTTGGACTCTTCATTGGTATGCATTCACGAGCCAACCAGGGATCGAATCCGTACTAAAATCATGAAAAGACAGGGGTTGGGTCATTGAATTCCGGCCCAAGTGGCTGAAAAGACAGTAAGCCTGGCCTGGCAACCTGAAGGTTCCAGGTTTCATTACAGGTGGAGTCCTGGGTGCATAATGCTGTAATGTCTCAAACTAAGACGAAAGAGTTGTGATTCTCTAACTGATATCAATCCCTAATCAACATGCATATACCAGTTTACTTGCTCGTGCGGAGCTGAGTATATAGGACGTTCCATGCGCTAACTTGCAAAACGCGCTCGTGAACAATATCCAGCCTGGCTACTTAAAAGAGAATGAAAGTGTGTATAACGTTCAGTGACAAAACATCTGGTCAACTCAGGACATCTAGTGCCATTAGAAAAATCCTTCAAAATCATATATAAGAATCAATAAAACCTATCAAAAAGAGTAAAATCAAGACATCTGGGCATAGCCGAGGCACTAGCCATCCAAAAACTCAAACCCACGCTATGTATCCAAAAGAAATACGTCCAAACCTTGTCCCTGCCATGGCCATCATAAACAGGTAACTCTTTAAACAGTAACTATCGCATTATCTTTCTTATCCAAACTCCCTGTTTATTCATGTTATTCTAAGTTTTTCTTAATCCCTATTTACACTACCATATTTGCATATCTGAAATTCCTGCCTATTTTGTCATTATATTATTTCTACATATTTAATCCCTGATTGCATAAACAATTATTCGTCACACTAGTTATTATCCCACTAGATTTTTTATCTAAACATCCTGTCTATTTTGTTATTTCTACATTTCTAAACCCTAATTGCACAATATGTCAATCTTCTCAGTAATTATGTTGCTACTTTGTTTGAGTTTTATCCGTCCCCCTGTTTATTATGGCATTCTAATTCCTAATTGTAATTTTTATTAATTTGACCCTTGACCAGAAATTATTCTGGAACTTTCCCACCCATTTACCATAAATACACGAATGTACAGCCTAGTTGATGACTTTGTTGAAAAGAAAATTCTCTTCGTTGCAACCGTCTTATTATTATTGTTATTCCCTATGAAAATATGATAGTGAATTCGGACTTTACAAGAATGAAATGGAATTATTGGTAATTTACATGGAAGTATAATTTGTTTCAATGAGTAGCCTTCCATTAAAAAAAACCGACACATAACTCGATTTTAACGAATTCCGGTTAGCGATAGCATGACGGGAGCAATTTCTGGGAGATGTAGGGAACTTACAGCAAATATATTCTTTATGAATGTTCCTTAACTAAAATCTTTTCAATTGTGAAAGATCAGAAAATTAGTGTGATGAGGCGGTGATCTAGTTGGGGAAGGAATCTGGGTCGTAGTAGTATTTAAGTGTCCATGGTCCATCTTTTGATACAGTTGTAGTCTGTATCTCAGCTCCAATCATTACTACCCTAGCGGAATTCCCTATAGGAAAGATATCATCAGTGGTACCTATATCTTTGTAAATAGTAGCTAGAATAAGAAATCCATATGATATTCAAGTGTTGGTTTGTAGGGATTTGGTTGGTTACAGGATTTTCATTGTGAGCTGACATTGGTTAGAGAACCATTGAAAAACCTGGGAGTACTGGACAGTTGTTTCGTCCTAGTTTGGACTCTTCATCAGTACGCACCAAACGGGATTCGAACCCAGGAGCTTCTGGTCACAAGGCGAGCTCGTATACCATTAAGCCACTGAGACCCGATCCAATGGTCCATGAATTCTAACTTCTTTTCGGGTCCCAGTGGCTCAGTGGTATACGAGCTCGCCTTGTGACCAGAAGGTCCTGGGTTGGAGTCCCGTTGGGTGCGTACTGAAGAAGAGTCCCAAATTAGGATGAAACAGCTCTCCAGTACTCCCAGGTTTTCCAATATTTCTCTAACCAATGTCAGCTCATGATGCAAATCCATATGATTTGAATTCCTGTGCTATCAATAACTAACACTGATAGAAACGGAAATAACTGCAGATGGTAACAAAGAATTACTTTCTATATAATTGAATAATAGCTTTATTAATGTTGAAAATATAATTTAAGGCACTTAGTCACTTTAACCACATCATGGAGTGCCCAATGAAATTTTCGATTAATAATTCCATTACCCTGAATGTGTTACACGTGTGAGTAGACATTCAGTACAGCGATATCTTTAATCTAAAAATGTGCAGAGTAAGTACTTTCACTTACTTAGTTCAGAGCAACAATGGCACAGCTAGGTGAAGTTCACCTGACAGATTACATACGTATTTCTTCCAAAAGCTAAAGTGTTAAAACCGCATGGTATAAAATGTACGTTAAACTTCCGCCAGTATTACAAACACAAAAAAGAATATCATTGAAGATGCTTATAACCACATATAAAATGTACATAAGTGGAAATCTGTGTGATTAAAGAACACTCAATGATTCCAAGATTCAGCTGTTCCATCCTAGGGAGACTAAAATATGATCTGCATGCAAAACTCTAACCCCCGGAATAAGCTGCACCCAGTAGAATCAACTAATATATAAGTCTCTGATGCTACTAAACGAATCAAAGACTTGGCGCGTCATAAAGAGCATCTCAAACAAACTATTGACTTTCATCAACAGTTGTCTTCGCTCAATACTCAAGATCAGATCGCCGGCCAGAAAAGATCAGCAACAGAGATCTCTGACAATGAGCGAACCAACCGAGCAGGAACCGATTGTGAAAGAAATAGGCAGGAAGAAATGGAGATGGATTGGCTGGCCATACTCTGAGGAAACCATCAAGTGACATCACACGCCAGATAAGTCATCGAGTGGAACGCGAAAGGGAAGCGGCGAGTTGGTCGTCGGTGCAAGAATGACTTGGTGGAGGTGATGTGAAGAGGAGATGAAAACGTGTGGGCATACTTGGAGCCAGGTGAAGACTCTAGCAGAGAACCAAACGTAATGGAGATACACGGCTGAAGCCCTATGTTCCTCTAGGAATTGAAGAAAACAATAATAATAATAAATAATAAGATTGCAGTTCTACGCATCACTATTGATCAGAGCATATAATCGCAGTCAGATTCCCACGTCAGTTTCATTGACTTCGAAAAACCTTCGACAGTTTTGATTGCAAAGTAATTTGTTAACTGCTTCAACACCATGAAGCGCAGCGCCCTAAACTTTGACCAGTCACATTCAACAGCTGTATGCTTACACCACGTGTCAAGTGATCCACAACACAAACTCAGGGAGGCTTTTGAAGTGAAGACGCGAATAGGACAAGGCTACCTGCTATCAGCGATGATACTACTCATTGTAGTGGACTGAATCATGCATCAGACTGTCTTTTAGAAGTGCGAAGATAAGAATACGCTGGGCTGATAAAAAAAACTCTGGAAGATCTGGCCTTTGTAGAAAATTTATGTCGAATGTCATAAAAAGTCAAAGATTCACTGGTGAAATCCAAAACGTTGACAGAAGAAATAGCAAAGACATCTTTTCAAGTGAACATAGGGAAGACAGACGCGATGAAGATGTAGAGTCGTCAAATACAAGCACCCATTACTATTAACGAGAGAAATTTGGGAGAAGCTTTTTCTCCTAACTACCTAGGCAGCATCATTTCAAATATGAAAGGCACGGATGAAGACGTAAATGCCAGCTGGGATCGAGAGTGAAAGAAAGACCTTCATTAATTTGGAAGTCTACTGCGCTGAGTAAGGAACGAGGATCAGATTTTCAGCTACAATGTAAAGTCACTCAGCACTTCCATTTTCTTTAGAGAATTAGTGTGTCACCAAGGGCATTAAAAACAGGCTACTACAGACTTTAATTAACAACTGCCTTCGATCGGCACAGAAGATCAGATGGCCAGTCAGATAGGACTAACATCATGAAAATCTGGCAACGAACCGACCAAGAACCTATTGCTCAACAAATTTGCAGAAATAAATGAAGACTGATTGGACACACTTTGAGGAAACCGTCCAGTGACAAGCCAGTCCCACAAATGAGATTAGAGTTAAGTGGCGAATCACCGGGTGACTGTTTAGCTAGTTTAGAGGCCGAGCTTATTAGCGGTGTGGCCAGTCTGACTCAGATCAGACAGCCAAATTTAGTTCAAACCATCTGATTTCCAGACAGATAAATAAGTGAACTGGTAATTTGGTTTATTAGATAAGACCACTCGGAAAATGACTACTCTAAAAATTTTAGCACAGAATAATATGAATCCATTTAATCTGATCGGTTCTCGTCAGCTACGTGCAACCTCTAACATTTAATAAAACCAGCAATAATGCAATTGCAACATACATTTTGTCTATCACCATAAACCAGTCCACCAATAAGG